TAATCTCTTTCTCTTTCGTCATTCTGTGCCAAACCGGAAACGACGCAACAGCCGACGGCGCGCTGCGTTGGTAAACAAAATATCGCCGCTTCCGCTCGGCGACGCGAGCGAGCGAGAAGGCGCGTCGTCGGCGGCCCGAAACAATGGACGATGGTTATGCCCCGCTGGACGCACGACGTGTCCCTGGTTTTATTGGTTTTTAATGCGCGCGAAAAGCACCCCTTTCGTCACCCCCGACTGGCATCTTCGCTCGAAAGTTCAGTTCTGTATCAGGGGTTTGCATCAGCTCGCTGCGCGATCTGGCCGACCGCCAATTATTATTCGGCGTAATATCCTCGACGTGGGGCACGATTGAAACGTACACCCTGGTATTTCCGCGCACCCGTCGTGATGAGGGGGCGGGGCAGGCCGGCGGGGCGGGTGGCGGACCATCGCGCGCGCTTAATGAAGAGGAACCGATCGTTTGTCCACGTCGCCGACGGCTGGCTCTCGAGTCGAGTTTTCGAAATTTTCATACGCCGCTCCCGACCTCGACATTTCACTCAACGCCGCTTCATACTCCGAAGAAGCTCATATCGATCTACGTTGACTCGCGTCAGCCGCCATTCAGAGGCGCTCATCAGTATGTGCGAGTCGACTTTCCGCGTCAATTGAGTCTCGTGTTCGGCTGAGAATTCGCCGGTTCCTCGTTTTCGTATATTTCATTAGATTTTACGAGAATTTCTCAATGAGAACTTTCTCAGGAAAGAAAGTCTGAAGAAGCTTCGCGACAAAATTTCTTTTGAATAAATTTCGAACTTTTCCAAAGTTCCGTAAAGATCTTCTCTGTCGCAAGAAGTTTCTAAAAATATTTTACGGTGTATAACACCGTCTTTTTCTTCCTTTCTTTTACCGCGCTTATTTCCGCCAATTCTTGCCGTGCGTCGTCTTTCGGGTCTGATCAGGGTGAAAGGAGGAGCTCTTCGGGTTCCAGAATAGTCGGAGCCCTCTGTGCGAGCCTCAATTAATGACGCGGTGGCTCCTTCGTTTTTTTTTCCGCTCTCGTACTAATTACATGCGTCCATGCGATAAAGGAGTCACGTGCTGACTTGCGAGCGACGAGTGTGCGATATATAGGGTATCCGCAAAGGTCGGGGTCAGACTTGCGCTATGTGTTAATGAGGTCGAGCAGATGGAAGAAGCTCGCGTAAACTTCCGTGCCCGAAAATGCTCGATTAAAAAGTTCTACGCGTTCGAAGATTTACGAGCGGAACCGCTTCGCGCAACTCGGAAACGGTTCAAAAATTTATCAAGACACGTCTTGATTCATTACAGATTTTATCACAGATGTTCCGCGCACACACACACACACAATTCGAATTCTTTCAAATATTTCTACCGTATGGGAAATAGTAATAAACGCGCTTTTTTCAACTCCTTTTGTACACTCCCAAGACTGGTCTTCTGTCTCTACCAGATTCTCATGAAGCGACTGTCCCATGTGACCCCGTAAATCAAGCGAAGAAGCGCTAAATGTAGCGGGGAACAATTCCGCTTAAAAATCTCCGGACGTCTGTAACTTCCTAATGAAGCATTCTCCGACGTAAGTTTGCATAAACTTTTTTCACCTACTCGACTTCATTAGCGCATTGTACAAGTTCCGCCCCGAGCTTTGCGGGTAGCCCGTATGCGCAAGGGTCCAAATTGCGCACGACCCTCCTTTGACAAAGATCGCCCCGCGTGAACCGCGCGGCCGAAGAAACGCGAATCGAGCGTCCCCCATTCGGATCCGTCATTATATTGTTACGCGTCTATCTTTACTTACTCACGTATTTATCATCACGGATATTATTATATTTACTTTATCATTATACGGCATTATTTTTATCACTATATCTTTCCTATTATATATTATCATACATTTATTTTTATACGTCTTATATACAGGCGTGTTTACGACCACTCGTCCGCTCTGATTTTTTTGTAAACTTTAGACACTTTAGACAGAAATGTTTCAGACAAAAGTTGTTGAAATTAATCGGTAGGAAAATATGATATAATAAGAAATTAGGCTTTCCGTTTAAGAAAATTGATGATCAGTGAATATCTCAAAAGTGGCGTCATCTGTAAACAAAATGCTATCGCTGTCTTATGTCCCTCAAGCAACTTTTGTCCGAAACATTTTTCTCCAGAAGGTCGCGTTTTCGAAAAGATCGGAGCGGTCGTAAACAGCCTGCACCTTCGTTATTGTTGCATGTTTTTGTTCACATCCGCTCGCTTTAGAGAAAAATATTTCAGACCAAAGTTGTTGAAATTAATCGGTAGGAAAAGGTGATACAATAAGAAATTAGGCTTTCCGTTTAAGAAAATTGATGATCAGTGAATATCTCAAAAGTGGCGTCATCTGTAAACAAAATGCTATCGCTGTCTTATGTCCCTCAAGCAACTCCGAAACATTTTTCTCCAGAAGGTCGCGTTTTCGAAAAGATCGGAGCGGTCGTAAACAGCCTGCACCTTCGTTATTGTTGCATATTTTTGTTCACATCCGCTCGCTTTAGAGAAAAATATTTCAGACCAAAGTTGTTGAAATTAATCGGTAGGAAAATATGATATAATAAGAAATTAGGCTTTCCGTTTAAGAAAATTGATGATCAGTGAATATCTCAAAAGTGGCGTCATCTGTAAACAAAATGCTATCGCTGTCTTATGTCCCTCAAGCAACTCCGAAACATTTTTCTCCAGAAGGTCGCGTTTTCGATAAGATCGGAGCGGTCGTAAACAGCCTGCACCTTCGTTATTGTTGCATATTTTTGTTCACATCCGCTCGCTTTAGAGAAAAATATTTCAGACCAAAGTTGTTGAAATTAATCGGTAGGAAAAGGTGATACAATAAGAAATTAGGCTTCCGTTTAAGAAAATTGATGATCAGTGAATATCTCAAAAGTGGCGTCATCTGTAACAAAATGCTACGCTGTCTTATTCTTCAAGCAACTTTTGTCGAACATTTTCCTCCAAGGTCGCGTTTTCAAAAGATCGGAGCGGTCGTAAACAGCCTGCACCTTCGTTATTGTTGCATATTTTTTTTCACATCCGCTCGCTTTAGAGAAAAATATTTCAGACCAAAGTTGTTGAAATTAATCGGTAGGAAAATATGATATAATAAGAAATTAGGCTTTCCGTTTAAGAAAATTGATGATCAGTGAATATCTCAAAAGTGGCGTCATCTGTAAACAAAATGCTATCGCTGTCTTATGTCCCTCAAGCAACTCCGAAACATTTTTCTCCAGAAGGTCGCGTTTTCGAAAAGATCGGAGCGGTCGTAAACAGCCTGCACCTTCGTTATTATTGCATATTTTGCTTCGCATCCGCTCGTAGCTCATCCGCTCAGCTCGCACAGGCGACTTCGCGATCCGGCCGAGTCAGCATAAAATCAATCCACGCGTATTCGCGCGCGGCGGTGCTCGCGGAGGACCGAGAGCGGAGCAAGCGGAGCAGCTGGAGAAAATAAAAACGCGGAACGCGCGTTCTCGAGAGCGGCGTATCAATTTATCGGGGAGTGCTCTCTCGCGTCGACTACTTGCGTAACCGCTGACCGCGATACGGCGGCGGCGGCGGCTATAGAGCGATTGCTCGATACGCGCGCGGCACGTAACGAGTCGACGCGAGCGATTGAGTTCGCACTCCTCGGCCAGAAGACAGCCTTGTCCGTCGGGGTCGCGCCATCGTCGCTGGCGCGTGGCACAAATAAGCGATACATCCGCTGGGACATATAAACGACGTCGTCGGCGAGGGCCGCCGCGGGACAAGACTCGTTCGTCAGCCTGGTAAAGTCGCGGCCGGCCGCGACTCGCGACACTTCCCGAGGAAACGAGCAGCGAGAGAGCGGGCTTTGGCATGCAAATTCGAGGCCTACCGCGAGGGGAAAGCCGCGCGCGCGCGACGCTTGTCTCCCGGAGGAGGATCCCTCGCCTCGCCTCGCCTCGCCTCGCCTCGCGAGAGGGGCTGAACGTGCGAGGAGAGCGAGAAACCGCGCGCGCCACCTCGTCGAGAGGCTGCTCGAGAGAGCAGAGCGCCGGCCGAGTTTTTGACTCGGAACAGGCCAGCGCGTGCGATAGGCGGTTTTCTGGAATCGATCCAAGGCGGCCCCGCCGCGCCGTCGGAGACGCGCCGCGGATCCGCGCGGCCAAACGTCAAAGGGATATCCGCGAGCCGCCGCGCGATACACCGAGTCACGCTCGAGTTCCTGCCTACTCGCGTCCAGCAGCGGTGCTCAACCACCGGGGCGAGACACGTGGGGCATTGCCGCGGGGTTGAAGAATCACCCATCGGCGGGCCTCGAAATCGATATTTACGCTGGCGAAATTGATATACTCGCCACGCCGAAACCTCCGAATCTCGCGCGGTCGTCTGTCTTCATGGTAATTCCGATCCACGCGCGAGGATGCCGTAATCGTCGTGAGATCATCGCGTCAGAATACGAGTTGGATCACTCTACGCTCTCTCTCTCTCTCTCTCTCTCTCTCTCGCAGCTTCGCATCCGCGTCTCGGAATTTTGGCCCGCCTGAGAGATTCCGAAGGACAAACGGGGATTCGCACGGCGAACTCGCCGCTCGCCGAGGTCCTCGGCAAGGCTAAGGAGATTAAGTAGAATCGAAAGAGGTTCGATATCGAGAGTATTAATCTCGCATGAAGTTGGCGTCTCGAACGGATCGGCGAGACGGACCCGCGAGCGCAACGCGTTACGAATGTATCGCACGGCGTGATCCTCGGAGGGGATCCCCGTCGTCCGGGCAGCATCCGGCGAGAGAATGGCATCGCCGGGACCCCGGCGTTTAGCAATCGCGATCCACCCACCTGCCGTGAGGCACGCGGATCGGAGCAATTCCGAGAGCCGTCGGTCGACTCGCGCGGCGCGCCGCGCAGCGCGCAGGGGGTTGCGAAACAAAGTCGCTCGCGCGCGCGCGTCCACCCCCCGCGACGGGGCGCCTGTCTCTTGTCCCCCGTCGCCCTCCGTCGCTTACCTGAAAGTCGCAGTGGATAATTTCGGCGTCGTCCAACAGTCGAATAGTGGCGCGATGCACCACCGTCACGTCACTCTTGCTGCCGAACTTCAACATTTCTGCCCTCAAGTCGTCACCCGAATTATCCCCCCGGCCCTCATCGTCCCTGCCCCCACAGCACCACACACTGCCCGTTTATTAATCGCGACACGCGCCACCGTCGTCCTGCACCCCGTCGTGGACGCCGGTCGTCGTCGTCGTCCTCGTCGTCGTCCTCGTCGTCGTCGTCGTCCTCGTCGTCGTCGTCGTCGTCGTCGTCGTTGTCGTCGTCGTGCTGGCCGCCGCTGCCGCCGCCACCGTCGCCGCAGACGCGCGACCGTACTCCGTATTATAAATCGACGAGCTGACACGGCACGACGGCGCGACGGCACGATTGCACAGCGGTGAACGACGACACATCACCGTAACGGAAGAACGCGAAGCTGTCTGTCAACCGGTCCCGTCCACTGCTGCGCCGCCGCCGCGGCCGTAGCGGCGCTGCCACATCTACGCCTCGCGAGACCGAGGCCTGTGCGCCGTTGCCGTTGCCACCGCCGCCGCGGTGGCAGCCGTTTGACAGGTGCGCGCGCAGCCTCTCGCACGCTCCGATCCGGCCTGCTCTGGACTCTGACGTTTCGCTCGCCTCGGCCACGGCGCAGCCGAAATGTCGTGCGTCTCTCGCGCTTTCGAGTGTGTGTTTCGGCCCGCTTGGCCTCTTTCCCTCTCGCTCTCCCTCTTCCTCCCCGCCCCTCTCTCTCTCTCTCTCTCTCTCTCTCTGTCTGTCTGTCTGTCTCTCTCTCTCTTGTGGCCGATGAGTGTCAAGAGTCGAGTGCTGAGGTCTGTTCTCTGCGGCTAATCTGACGTCTAAAAGCTCGCTCTTTTCCTGTTCAACGTGATTTTACGCACTGCTTTCGCGCTCCAACGCGCGAAGAGCGCAACTGATACAGCGCAAAAGTTGCGGCAACATTGCTGCGGCGTCGTTGCAATATTGCAAAACCTCGTTGCGACGTTGCGGCAACTTTCTGTGCTACATGGGAAGGTAGCTGAACTGAACAGAGAACAGACTTCTGGTGCTTCTTCGTGTGCTCTGAAGTGACCTGTCGACGTAAGAACGACGTAAGGTCTCTGTTCCTTTTAGCCGAACTACTCGGCCGCACTGAAACCTTGTCCCTTTCCTCCGCTTGCGTGATTTTTCTACACTCGTTTCACTCCCGCGACGAAAGTGCAAGTCGGTTCAGCGGAAAGGAACGGACGTGGAGTCTGAACTCTGACTTTAGACCGATGATGCGCGTGTAGATGTTTATTGGTGAGAGGCAAGCGAGAGAGACAGAGAGAGAGAGAGAGAGAGAGAGAGAGAGAGAGAGAGAGAGATTGGCGGCTTCCGTTGGGATTTTTGTCGCACGTGAAAGTTCCGGGGCACTCGCGAATATTGGCCACGGAGACGAGCGTGAGCCCAGCTGGTAAATAGAGGGCGCTATCTGCCGAATACGCTCGTATTCGGGAAAGAACAGGTTCGAATCGATAGGAATAATTCGCTGTGCCACAGGGAGTAGACGGTGCAAGGAAATCGCACGTATCGCACACTCAATTCGCGGGTCGAAGAATTGCAATCTGCGCTACCTACGTTTACATTTGGAGTCGGAGGTCAGTCGTTGGCTGCTTTCGAAGAACGTTCGTTCAAGAATGCTCAGTGCGTATTTAGCACGTTGTCTTATCAATTCGCATCAGTTGCACTACGGCAGTATCGATGGAAGCTGAAAGAGGTCGCTAGTCGCCACATCCTGTAAGACAAGGAGAATTTGTTGCGAGACGCGGAGCACCGCCGGCTGAATCTCCATAAACTGACCAACTGACAGTAACATTACTTCGATATCACAATTTCTCACTCAGAGAGAGAGAGAGAGAGAGAGAGAGAGAAAGGCAGAGAGAAAGAGAGAGCAACGTAAGTATAATAACGACACGTGTTGGATGTAACAGCTAAATTGTTGAGTAAGGCTGACTTTCACCAAGCTCCACTTAACCTAATCGGCGGTCAAGTAGCAAAGTTACCAATTGAACTCAATTTCTCCTCCAACAGTAATTTCCTCAGTTGGTAATTTTGCCAGTCTGAACTGATTCCATTAAAATTTTTTAAATTAATTTCACTTGATTTTATTAATTCTTCCTTTCATTAAGCTAAATTTAAACGCCAGTACATTTCGAAATTTCCGTCGGTTAGCCGTCGGTTAACTTAACCAAAGTGAAAGTCCGTCTCTCTGTCTTTGTCCCTTAGTCTGCCCCCTCTCTTCCTCTGCCCTTCTCTCTAAATTACTAGCTTCAAAAACACATCTAGACTAATTTCCTCGACCACTGAAACCGTTAAAAGACCTTTAGATACGGAAAGTGAAAGTCACTCTTTAGGCAACGAGACAATCGATCGGGAGGTCTCGAATAAAGTAAGACTGCTCGAGCGGCAATTGCCGAATCGGCGAATCACCGTCGATCGACCGAAGACAAAACGACGGAACGATCCATAGTGATTGGTCCATTTCCCTCTCGCGCTCACCTTCCCCACACGCACCTCGTGCCGACGATTCTCGAACGCGCGACGAGCCCCTCCGCTCCCGTTTACTTTTCCCACACCCCATAACCCGAAACGGAAAACCTGAGCGCAACGATAATTGGCGCGCTTGCCATTCGGCAGTAACACACGCGCGTCATTGAGAGTCGAGTGGGCTCCGCTTGGTTGGCCGTCGGTACGGCCTGAAGTTGCCGCGCCGCTTCGGGATTGCCGGCACTGGCGCGCATCGATTCGACCGCTCGAACGCGCGACCGCCGCGGTTGGCCGCGCTCGAGTGTCGCGCGCTGCGATACGCCGGTCCTTGCGTCGAGCGCCGGTGGTAGGGTGACGGTTAAGTGGCGAGCGCGCGGGTGGGGACGAGGTCGAGGGCGTTGAACAAAGGTTGGATGCGTCGGTCGGCCGGCCGGCGGCCGCATTCACGATTCAAACATGGCAGCGGCTACCAGCGTTGTCGTGCTCGACAGGGGCAACAACACCACCTGCACCATCAATTTGCACGGTGTGTGCGTGTGCGTGCGTGCGTGCGTGCGTGCGTGCGTGCGTGCGTGCGTGCGTGTATGTGTGCGTGTATGTGTGAGTGTGGAACATGCGTGTGAACTACGCGCTAGTGTGCGTGTGCGCGCGTCTCTCCGCGAAGCTCCGCGTCGCGGAATAAGAATCTCGCTCGATCTATCGAGGAAATCGCGGCGACGTCTCAGGAGCGTGTCCGCGAGTTCGCGCCCCGTCGACGCTGCGTCAACGTCCAGACGACGACGCGACGACCTCGGCGCTGCCGCGTGCGCGACGTCGAGGCCGCGGCTGCCGAAGCGCTCGCTAGATTTTCGTGCGTGTGTCTTTCCTCTCTCTCCCTCTCTTTATGTATCTCTCTCTCTCTCTCTCTCTCTCTCTCTCTCGTTCTCTCTTTCTCTCTTACTCTCGTCGCTCCGCTGAGGCCGCGAGAACGCTCGCGCTCGCGCTCGTTTTCCGCCGCGCGAAATCTCGCGTCCACGACGGCCTTCACGTGTTTCGCCTCGTTTCGCGCCACGCGTAGAGTAGTTTAGTGAAACGCGCGATGTGCATCGGCCACCCGGTATATCCCGTCGCGCGAGAACGTCGCTGTTTCCGTCCGCTGCCGCGCCGGGCCGGTCGACGGCTCGAGGCCGCTCGACGCAGACGACGAAAATTCTCATGACGATTTTCCATTTTGCAGGAGCCACCGTGGTGTCCTGGCGGGTGAACAATCAGGAGCAGCTCTTCGTCAGGTGAGTACATAGAAGAAAAAAAAAGCATACGCTCTCTGCGCGCTGTTTTGACAGGCGAGCGGCGCGACGGGCCGGTCGGCCGCGCGCATGCGCGCGACCGGTCGCGCGAGCGCCGATCGCCTTGACGTTTTGATCTCTGTGATTGATTCGAATCTTAATGCGAATCTGCTCTCTCGGCCGCGGCGGGCTCTTCGGTTTTTCTCTCCTTCGTTTGCGCGCACTCGCGCTCCGCTAATAAAACCGATGGCGTACGGAGAAACGTGAGACGCGCAAACGGCTTGACTATATAATTGGTCGATTCGTTCGGCGTTTACGTTACTCTACGTGCCGTCGCCTCAACTTCGCCTTGGGGGTAAAGAAGGGTAGAACCGGGCGAGGGGTGAAACTGGGCAGGCTGGTTGAGGCAAATTTCAAAGTCTGCGAGACTGCGCGAGGTGTTACGAGCGATGACTCGCGACTCTGGAGTATCGCGCGCGGGCCTTTCGTGAAACAAGCTGTACAACGCGTCGCGTAAAACACGAGACAAAGTCGCCGGAGTATATAAACGTTGACGCAAGTGGTAAGGTTACACGCGAGGTTACGCATCTCAGATGAGATCGAATGCGTTTAGCATGACCGCGCGTGGCAAGGCGAACTGGCGAAAGAGCGTTACATGAGTGCGATCTCGCGCAAAAACATTAATAATATATCGATACGATGAATGAATGTCAGGAGCGTGTCGTGGCGGCCGCAGCGAAGGTGTGCAACTCATTCGCCTCAAGTTCCCTCGAGCGAGTTCCCGAGGAACCTTTAAACCTCTCTCTCTCTCTCTCTCTCTTTCTCTATCTCTCTCTCTCTCTCTCTCTCTCGCACCTTCGAGTTCGGGCTCATTCAAGCCCGCGATTTGGCGAAACAGAAAGGAAGAAAAGGAGAGAGAGAGAGAGAGAGAGAGAGAGAGAGATAAAAAACAGGCGTGCGAGAGAGAGAACGCCTTGCACCTTGAAGTGGCGAGAAAGCCGCCGCGCTTATGACGAATGGCATTGGCGGAGAAAGTCGGCCGGTTTCCGCTCGAAATCGTATCAAGGTATTGTCGAAAAAAGCGCGACAGAGACAGAGAGAGAGAGAGATCGCGCCGACGTGACGGTTTATTGTCCGAGATGCAAGGTCTCCGCTATGCTACGCCGAGCACGAATCACTCCGCCAGCAAGTGACACACAACGTCTGGCGATGAAAAAACTGGCGGGGAAAGAGAGAAAGGGACGAAAGGGGAAAAAAGGAGAAGAGGAGCGAGAGACAACTGTTTCGCGCGGTCGGGCAAAGTCCTGCGCTGACGACGGCGATTGAAAGTCGTCGTCGTCGTCGTCGTCGTCGGCGAGCGGCTCGAGAGCAACGCGCTGCAATTTTTCCACGAGCGCGCGGACCTTCGATGAAGACGCACCTGGCGTGCATCCGCGAACCCTGGATTTCAATTCGACGCTCCGGCGAGCCCGATTGCCTTCGTCACACTCTTCTTCTTTCTTCCGCGAATCCGCGACTCCGGCGCGCGAGCAGCGTTCTCGCCGAGATCTCGTTCCGTCAAGGAAGAAAATTGCAGCGTAGCCTTGGGAGCCTCCTCTCCCGCCGTGCCCCGTCGCCGTCGTCCCCCTCGCGCTCGTAAATCCTACGAGCGAGCGAGCGACCCCTTTCCTCCCCTCCCCCGCCACCCGCCTGCGTCGCGATAATAGCCGAGCGCGTATTTCGATAATTTTACGGAATCGCCACAGCGGAATAGATCGTTATTCGCGAGACAATGCACGCAACGCGCGAGGAGGAAGAGAGAGAGAGAGAGAGAGAGAGAGAGACACGGGTGGAAGGCGCGCGCGCGCGCGCGCACCTGCCGAGAAAGAACCGCGTAAAAGCGCGGTGCCCGTGACGATCGCTTTAAAAGCGGCAGCCCGAGAGCAGACGATGAAAAAACTGACGGAGAGAGAAGGCAAGGGCGCTCTCTGGACCAGTACATACCTTATACACGGGGTTCAGGGCCCCTCGTCGCTTGCCAGTCATCCAGTCCTTCCGACTGTAAAGCCACTCTGTCGAGACTGGGTTTTGTAATAGAGCCGCGATAGCCTATCGGAGTAATGACTGCGTGCGAGACTGATGAAAAATCAGCCTTCAACGTTCTCTCTCTCGCTCCGCCATTTCCAGCCGCGTGAAAAATGCAGCGCGACCGGATGTCACGCCGCTGGGCGTTTTGCACATTTCGCAACCCCATTCCGCCGCGATCGAGACGATCGACCGCCTCTCTCTCTCTCTCTCTCTCTCTCTCTCTCTCTCTCTCTCGCGATTCTCCCGTTTGTTGCGTGCGAGTTGAGCCGCCGGTGCGATTAGCGCGCGCGATGCATTTCCAGCGGCGACGATGTCTGTTAATCTCCTCCGCGTGCGAAACGCGTCGTCCTGTAGATTTTTCGGGGAAGTTTTAGCGAGAGGACTCGCGTTGACTTGAGTCGAAAATCGTCGGAGGTAATCTCGCGACTCATCGGGAACGTCGCTGTCTCGAGGACGCCGTCTGCGAATTTCTTTCTACGATGGCGAGTGACGCATACACGCGCGATGCGCGAACGCTCGTAATTCACCACAATTTCCCTCGAAGCGGCTGTATAAAAGTTACGAGTCGGTATGTCCGGTCGCGAGCGCGATATGATCGCGACGCGACGCGCGACACGCGACGGAAGCGCTTTTGCGTCTATCAGTCGGAAGAGAAAATGCCGGCTCTTAATTTCGATTATTATCAGTATTAAGGGAGGAATTACACGCGGAAGGCCGTTTTCAAGGCTATTTTGATAATTGTTTTGACAGAAACGGTGAGATCAATGAACTTGGAATGTTCGCAATGTATTCGTTAATATTCAGAATATAAAATAAATTTTATTGAATCACCAGAACCGAATCAACTTGTAATTGTAGATAAAAATGCAGTCATCCGCTTTGCGAGCTCTGTGTTTGCTGTCGACATAATTCCGGGCTTCTCGCTACTCTGAGACCAAAAAATGAGAAAGATTTTTCAAATATTATGGTTGCCATTACAGCCCGTACCAAATTGAAAGCAGCGAAGCCAAGTTTAGAAAAATAATGACTGTACAAGAAAAAAATATCGAAAATGAAACTTTTTTCAACTTGTAATCATATTTTTAAAAAATGAATAAAGTAAAATATAACTGTGTTCGAGGTAAGGACGAAAACTACACGTCTATTGTATATTGTGTGAAAATTTCAAGTTATTCAGTAGTTTTTGCGTAATCGTGTCGATATAGCTGAAGAAAACAGCGTGTCCAGATAAACGCATTTAAAATTTGCTTTCCATATAGATGGTAACAAATTTATTTTATACTTTGAACATTAATGAATACACTGAAAATTTCAAGTCCATTGATCCTACCGTTTCTGTTAAAAGAATTCTTTAAAAAGAAGAACAGCCTTGAAAACGGCCTGTTCCGCATATAATTCCCCCCCCTTAACCCTTTAACACTTACTGCTAATTATAGTTGCCAGAAACGCATTTAAAAATCCATAACCTAGTTAAAAAAGGAGATATTTTCGTTTTCTTTGCACCACTGTAAAGGTGAATTCTTCTTCTAAATAATGGTATACAGATTGTATGTAGATTCGGTTTAGTTTGTTTTTAGCTCAGTTTTAATGGTAACTGTTACTGACATTGTTACTGACATCTAGAAGTGCACTATGCAAATGAATAGATTGGTATCTGTTATAATTTTATACATTTGGAAGCTTCCTCGGATGCAAAATGTGAAATTAAAAGAATACAGAAATTCAAAATGGCGAATCCAACATGATGGACATGAAAATCAAGAAATCGACCTATTTTCGTGAAACCTGGTGACCTACAGCGCTTTTTATGCGGCGAAAAATGAAGGGACGATTGACTATCTAAATGGTGATCTATAAGATATTCTTCTGAAATAGTAAGCTTGACGCTCTGAACGATAAACTTCACTCACAAACATAGTGAAGTTTCAGCTGAAAAATATCAAGCTGACTATCACAGAGTTATGTCGTATAGATTACCCTTCATTTTTCTCTGTATAGGTTGCTCACTTCGTACATGCTTTTAGAATCCAAGTCATATTTACCAATAAACAAGAAACGAACGGTAAAAGAGATCAATATAAAATTCTGATATTTTTTTTTGGTTATCGCTACTTATAGTCTCAGTTCGAAGAAACTCAAATTTTATTCCTAAAACACTTATAAAAAAGTCGGGCGTTAAAGGGTTAACAGCGGGCGAGTTAACATTTAGGACTTCATTTAAGAAACAGATCAGCAACGAGATCTCTCGCGATTTACCCTTCGCCGCTCCTTCTCGCTCCAACGCGATTCGAGCCGACAACACTCACCGTTGCATCTTCGCAATGCGAAATACATAAAGTGGAAGACAGAGCGGCGGGCGATATTTCAAATTTCGGAGAAACATGAGAGAGAAAATTTGCGGGGACGCGATGTTCGAGAGGCGAACGCATATCGTCGAGTTGCAAATTATCGTCGCTGGCACTTTGCATTTTCGCCCGAACCGTTCTCCACTCTCTCCGTCTCTCTTCCTCTGCTTCTCGATCGTCGGCTTTTTATTTGTATGTACGAGCTTCACTCGGAGGTGGTCTTTGTTCTTCCGAGCGTATCCTTCAGCCACCGTGTGAAAGTCGCGCGTCAAAATAAATCATATAGTCGGCTGAGAGAAACGCGTGTGTAAGGGACGAATTTAAATACCTGTCGTTTGCAACAGAGGATCAATTTTCGAATTGATAAAGATTCGTTCTTACTCGAAATTCTATGTGTTATCGTTTATAACAAGCTTTGAGCAAAATTAAACATCAATGCTGCGACATTATTTAATCGCAAGCGAATGTTGCAATTGTCGACGACAATTCGCAAAAGCTGCTGGCCGGTGTCTTGGAAAAAGTGAAGATGGTTAATGTAAATAATTCCTGTTGCTTGGTTTTTAGACCTATGCGCACTTGTTCCTTAATTCC